GCATTTTAAGACCTGTCTTAAGCATGTATGACCCTAATGTATTATAATAATCTCATAAGGAACCTAACTAAATAATTTCTCTCCCTATCCAGGGTATAATTTCAACATGTATTTCATACATTCCCAGATCAACACAATTAACTCATTCATTTACACTGTCTTCCCTTCTCTTCTTTCTCTCATTTCGAGCTCACCTGTGTTAATCCAGTTTCACTAGTATGGCGCACACCCAGGTTAGAACCTTCCCTCTATCACCATCACAACATTACAGGTGGAGTCCCTCCTCAGTCCAGATACTATAGATGGGAAGAGAAGGATCACCTCAGCAGTCCTGTAATGGTCTACCCAGACTAACAGGCTTGGTCCCTGTGGTGTCTCTCCAGCAGCAACTACTGTTCTGTACTCCTGTACTGTAGTAGTTCTTACTAACTGCCCTAACTGTCGCTACTACCAGAGGCACTGCAGGATATAGCACTCCGACTAACACATCCTGGCAGGACAGATTAGAGACAAGGAAAGGAGAGTTAGCAAGGAAGGGAGGGAGAGAGAGAGGGAGAGAGGGAAGAAGGATAGGCTCTGTTTGCTTTGAAGGTGGAGCTACTTATTTATTACCTAATTTCACCCTTATAACCCCTGAGACATACGTGCAGGCATGCACACATGCACACACACAGACAAACACACCAAATGCATGCACTCACGCAAGCATGCAATAGTTTATATTTTCAAAATGATAGGTTTTTGATGAGGAAATACATAAATGTGTATTGGTCAAGTTGATTGATTTTGTCTTTACAGGTATAATATGACTTTCACAGGCTTAACATAACTTCTGATTTATATACTTTTTAACATTTGTAATGTTTTTTATGTATTCTACATGGACAAATGAGAACTTCCAGAATTACTGTTGGTGTGTGGCAATGGAAAAAATTATAACTAGAATTAGAATTGAAATTTCAGTTTCCTAATTTGATGAAATAAAAGGCAATTGACCGCAATGCTGATGACTAGGCATGATTCCTACATTTCACATCCATATATTAACTACATCACTCTATTGCACCCTAGTGGTGTATGCTCCTCATTTGTACGTTCCAAATCTAGACATGAGGGATGATAAAGGAGACATTGTGGAATATATTGGCTCTGCTGACCAACCAGCGTCGGGGCAAGTCCATATCCATTCAGTTAATCCAGTATGAAAAAAATAAAAATATGTATGCACTCACTAACTCCAAGTCGCTCTGGATAAGAGCGTCTGCTAAATGACTAAAATGTAAAAATGTAAAATAACTGAAATTCCAATAAAAAAGGTGTTCTCTGCAGGTATAATGCCTTACTACTTGTTATAAGCATGTATGAGCCTTTATGAAGTGTTACTGTCATATTTTAACATCACGTCCTTCCCATGCCCTAACAGTATAATGAATATGCTGTGTTCAGTCTATATGCTGCAGTGAATGAGTTAGGGTAAGATACTTTTATACTTATGTTAAACAATCACGGAGACATAAGAAAATGACCACTTTTATAATATATATATATATCCTTTATTTATTTTTCAGCAGAATGTTGTACTACAGGTGGGACATGAGTCTTCCCATACCAGATACAGTTGGGACATACTTAAGACACAGAAGTGACTGCCAGCTGTATGTATGTATGTTCCCTGTCCTAAGACAGGTTTCTTCAGACCGTGATCGCTTGATATCAGGCTGGCTTTAGCTGTTTCTCACTGAGAGATGGAGAGAGGCGGTACCAAGTCGCTAGGCAGGTGCTGACTGACAGGACAGTGTTCATTAGGCACCAAACGGAAGAAAACAGACAAACAGGGAGGGATTACCTGGACTTGTTCCAATAAGAAACGCTCATTTTCATTTTTACTATGTTTTCAGTTGCGTGCCCTAATGAACACAACCCTGGTGGTGTAGTCTAGTCTCGCTGGCAGCCCTGTTTCTACTACCAGAGCTCAACCATGGGCCTTAAAAGTCACTAAAGATAAGTTATTTGACTTCAGTTTTCAATTTCAACAACTTGTCTCCAAGAAATACGGGCCGGTAGTTTGTAGCATAATGTTCCACGTAGGAATAAAAAGGCCTAAATAACTAAATAAGTAAAACGATAGCTTTCTCTTCACCAGGATTTAATACCCTTTTACACTTCTGAGCTGAGACTAACTGAGCAGAACCAAGCTGCACTAATCACGTATCAACCCTAGTTGCTGCAACAGTGCTGGAAAGGACAATACAGTTCAGATAGTGTGAAAAGTGTATGACTAGATGGCTGAAGAAAGAAGATAATTGTGGAGTGACAGTGACAGACAGGTACACAGCACATCAGACCAACGAGAGAACACTTAATGGCATTAGCTGGCTAATTAAAGGCTTTTACACACTTTCAAGTTATGATTTTTGCTTGCACTTTAAATACAGCCCTCTATTTCATTAAGTAAATATTTAAAGCTAACCCCGACCAACCCTCTACGTGTAAGCACTTCCCACTGACCTCTAACCCCTGCCCATGTGAACCTCATTATGGAGCTTGGAGGGCACAACGCTCAAATAGAAATGTGTCGTGTAGAATAGACATAACTAACTCTCTGTGTTAGATATTTGATTTCACAAAATGTATGATAATGACCTTTATAATGAACTGGAAGGATGCATCATATTGTCCTTTATTGTTGTGAAATTGAATGGCGGATTTTTCAGAAACTCTCTCTTTCTAAGGCAGTTCACCTAACAGGAGGGCTTCTGATTGCAGCCAATATCAACTGACTCCAATTGGTTAACCCTCATTGTCTTACATTAGATAGCACAACTCCATCTGCATTGAAGGACTAGTGTTGGGTTGGAGTGGCGCCACCTGTCATGAGACAATGGGATTGTCCTGTATGGGGTAGGGTTTGGTGTACAGTGTGGTGGGGTGGGGTGCAGTACTCGTATGCTCATGAGTAATGACACATCTCCATGTCTTGTAGTGAAACAACTTTGCAAAGTGCTGACAGGAGCAACTAGAGATAAAACAGTAGCATAGCTTGATTGAACAAGAGTCTAACAGTAACCCGATTAACTAAGGTATCCTGTACCCACCCTACCTTACAAAGAGACAGTCTACAGCACTTTGGAGTGGAGGATGTACAAACAAGGAGTTATTTAGGAACATATCCCTTCTTCAACATATCCATTCATTTCAAATGAGTGTTTTTTTGGAATGTGAGGTGAAATCACTGCAGCTGACTTGACATTGTTGATAGTCCAACGTAAGTGGGGATGAAGTATCCAAGCAATCTGCACACATATGCACACGTGTACACACACGTGCACACCTACGCACGGATGCACCCACGCACAGGCACACACACATACAATCTCACGCACACACGCACCCACACAACCACGCGCATACACACACACGTGCACAAACTGTCCTTTTGCAATGAAGCTGACAGCTTAAACACAGTAAACATCAAACAAGCTTCGAAGACTGTTCATACACACACACTGAACTTCACTCCCCCTAGCGTACAGAGAAACAAAGAATCAACTGGACACAAGGAACAAAAAAATAATAAAAAATATCTTTGGCAAAAAGCAGTTTTAAAAATGAGAATCTCATTTCAACTTTGTCAACTTCAGAATATGCCAATAACAACAACAACAACAACAGCAGCAGCAACAACAAAAACACACAGGTAAGCAAGTGGTGAGTGTCCCTGCAACCGGAGTCACAGCCAGTCCAGCACTGTCTATAGGTCGCAGAGGGACCTCTGCCCATCTTGTGGTTGGATGCTCCAGGGTGAAGTTTCCCCTAAATACAGATCTACAATCAGCTTTCCCTCCCCTAATCCTAACCTTAACCATTAGTGGGGAAAATGCTAAACTGAACCAAGATCAGCATCTAGGGGCAACGTTACCCTACTCCTGGTTGGATCAACATTGTTAAGTGGCTTTCCTATGTATTCTTTCCTATGTACTCAAAATGCTCGCCACTGATCTTTAAGAAATGGGATAGCTATAAGCAATATGGTGACAAGGCCTATCAGTAGGCTTCAATATTGTTTTCACCTGTCCAGTGATTTTGTATAAATGAGCAGTAGAACATGGTACATAGGAGAGGAGGCCATTTTTGAGTATTAAGATCCCCGCCCCTGCTATGAGGTCACAGTGAAGCACCTTCTGTGGATTCATTGTGATGTCACAGAGGGAGCTGAGTGGTGTCTGTGAGGACCCACAGAAGACAGTGCACTTCATGTGAAGCAACAGAGAAAAAGGGAGAGCTGAGTCTATATGGCTCCATCTCAATTGACACCCTATACAAATTACACCCCATAGGACACTACTATTTACCAGAGCCACATTGTACTATGTGTATACTATATAGGGAATGCAGTCCGGAAGCAGTGGTGCTCTCTTGTGGATGCCTTATGTGCCTCAAGGCAAGAAAGTAATATAGGGATGACATTTGAGATGAAGCCATATACAATGTTCAATCACAGTGAAGTTTCTGCACTTCCTGTGATGTCACAGCCAAGTTTCTGCGCTTCCTGCGAGGTCACAAAGGCAGCTGAACCCATCCTGTGATGTCACAGTGGTTTCAGTGAGAGCCCTCAGTCAATAGAGGGCTCCGGTTTAAATTGTAAACAGGACACACAGCGAGTACAGCGACAACACAGAAGCATAGAGAAAGGGGAGGGGATAGACAGCCCATAGTGGCTCCTCCTCCCCGGCCCCCTACCAAGTCCAGCAAACAATAAATAAAACGTGCCTTTGTGCCCCACTGGTGAGTGGGGTGGGGGGGTGTGACTGGGGCGCGGAGAAAGAGGAAAAATACCATAACACTGGAATTACACACACATCAGCAGATTACAACATTTCTCTCCACGCGCCTCCCTCTCGCTCACCTGGAGTCTGTCCTGCTCTACCCACAAACCACTAGTAATCCAGCATCATGTGCAAAGAAAATAAAACTAGAAGACAAAAACGTCCGATGATTAGTTAGAGGTTCTCTTCCTCCTCCTCTTGGTTCTCCATGCAGCTTCCACAGACAGCACCCCCCACTGGTTCTCCCAGGCCCTACCACACCACACAGCGGTGACCCGAGTTCATAGGGGAGCCAGTGGGGCACTGGAAGTGCTCAGCAAAGTCTGGCGAGTTGGAGAGGGTGCCGATGACGCGGTATTTTGGGGGGCTGTGGGGGTCCGTCATGAGTCCTTCGTGGGCGCTCTCCGGGGTTCGCACGGAACACCACACCTGAGAGAAGAAGAAAGGGTCTCCCGATAAGTAAAACAGGAAGTAGCTAGATTATGCTCCTCTCTGTCTTCCTAACTGTTGCATATTATACTCATTCTGTTTCCAAAATTGTGTTTTATACATTTGTTCGTCCACTTCTCCTCTCCAACAGTAGTTGTAATATTCCACTCTTACTTTCACCCCCAAATGCATGTGAATTCACTCTCATTTCTCCCCCTTATATCATGATGTAGGGCCAGGAGTTCATCCTGAGAGCGTGACCTGACAAGGAAAAACTCTGGCCCTTAGTTTTATAGCTTATGATATGGTCAGGCAAACCCAGAGCCCTAATCATTAGTATTTGATACATGAACTCTATTAGGATGTGTGTAATGCATCTTGTTGACACTCCCATCACCCACCTGGGCAAATCCCACAAAGAATAGTTGGTCATTGGTCAGGTTGACCGCTGGCAGCCTCTTCTCCTCACCGTTCTCCTGCACCCATGCCTGGTACGCCTGAACACAACAGAAAAACCCATTACTATAGAAACATGAATCGCCACTTTGCTGGCCCTGAGGTGAAGTATAGTATAGTATAGTATAATAAGAGTCATGCTGCCCTGGATCCCACCACTGCCACCATGGGAAGTAACACTGTAATAACCGTAGTAAAAACATAGTAGTAACTATGCAATTGCTTTATAAATACATAGCAATGGATTTGGCAGTAAACCCATTACTGTTACAAAATAACAGAACTTTACTACAGTTAATAATTATTACAGTGATTACTAAGTTACTACACCGACAGTATGTGAGCAACTACATGTGTTATCAAGTAGGGAGACCCACTCACCTTATAGGCTGCCTTTAGGCCTCCGTTGTCAGCAATGTTCTCTCCCAGCGTCTGCTTGCCATTTATGTGCTCCCCATTGATGGTAAACCCGTTGTACTGCTCCACCATGCATTCCGTGCGGTTCTTAAATGCTTCCACAGAGGAATTTTGCCACCATGGCCGAAGGTTCCCGTCTTTGTCGTATTCCCTGCCTGATTAAGGCAAAATAATCTTTACAAACATGCACACCTAGTAATCATGTCTGTGCATGCATTCTGGTGTGTGTTTGTCAGTGGGTGTTTTGTGAGGATGCGTCCATGAGTTCTGTGGAATCTGTTAAATGCGATCACCAACCCTGGTCATCAAAGGCATGAGTGAGCTCGTGTCCCATCACCACTCCGATCCCCCCGAAATTCAGTGCTCTGCAGAGAATTCACATGGGGTCAGAAAAGCAAGCAAGCAAGCACACATACGCGCACACACACATACACACTCACTTGGGGTGATCCTGGGCATAAAAGGGTGCCTGAAGGATTCCAGCTGGGAAGACAATGCCATTCTTGGTTGGCATGTAGTAGGCATTGACTGTGGGAGGGGTCATACTCCATCTAGAAGGAAGGTGGCAGAGACGTGTGTAAAAAAGCAAACCTGTGAAAGCTGGTGAGAGTAGGACGACTAATTTTCATTTCTGAAATGGGCTGAATGGAATGGTATGTGTTTGATACCGTTCCATTCATTCCGGTCAAGCCAATACAATGAGCCCGTCCTCCGTGACACCAGACACCACTGGAGCAAACAGCATCTCAATTAATGTAGTGTTTGACCAGAGTCAAATTTGTGCACTTTACAGGGAATAGAGTGCAATTTCCGATCGAATGACGATGGTGATGTTGATAATGATAATGATGATGATGATGAGTGTAGCTGATGAAGACTCACTGGTCCCTGTTGGGCGGCTTGCGGAGCTGATCGGCCATCACCCTGGCGGAGAAGTTGTAGAAGTTGAGTGTGTTCTGGAAGAAGTTTTCTTCCGAGACGTCATACTGTGGAGAGACAGACATACATGCAGACAGACAGGGGCGATAGAGAATTACTCACTGATCAGAAACATCAAAAGGTGTCCTTGTCATTTCACCTTCAACTTGTTTGAAGAAATCCCAGCGTTCAATGTATGGGGTTCAATCATGACACAACTCAACAAAAGGCACCAACTCACCCCATCATAAACATCATCCAGTTCTTTGGGTTCCAGGATGAAGTCAGGGAATCCAATCATGTCGTAGATGGCGTCCGCCTGAAGACCAAGAGAGCAAAAGGGATAAGAGAGGGCAAGATGGAGGAAGGGGACAAGAAACTTCCTGGTTCCATTATTTGGAGGCCAGGACAAAGAGGGCTCTCTCAATCTATTCCAACTACTCTATTGTAAACTGTTCACCCATATTACTCCCTCCCTGTCCTCTCTCTCTTACACATGCACAGGGATGCACGCACGCGCACACACACACACACACAGGCACGCGCACACAAACACACACACACACACACACATTCTTTCACAGACATAGATAGCCTCTGGCACCCATACGTAGCCTATCCAGTGTGTAACTTCATCTCTGACCTTGTCCTTGGCTGCCTGACGCGTTTGTTTGTCCATCCATTTGAGGTGATCAAGAGCATCTTTGAAGGCAGTACGGATCTCATTGATCATCCCCTCTGCCTGATTGTGGGGTGAGAGACAGAAATGAAATGTAAGAAGGAAGAAAGAGGGAAAGGTGATGTAGATCCTTCTTTTACAATTACACTTAGATATGGACTAAATACCCGCGGCATATCTGAACCAGCCCATCCCTCCCAAATGATAATAAAAACCAAGAACACTTGCACACGTCTATTTCCAACCTTTATAAAACTGCCCATCCTTCCTCTGTGCCTCCTCTCTCTCCCCTTCCATGTCTCTCTCTTCTACTTGCCCCTCTTTTCTCTACCCAATAACAATCTCTCCATTTCATTTCCGTTTGTTTCTCTCCTTTATCCAGTCTCTACTCTCTCTACATTTGACTCTCCCCTCCGCAGGACAGGGAACTATTACTAAATTAGTATTTAATTAATTGTAAACATTTATAATAATTTATAAGAAATATATAAACATTATAATCTGTACAATTCATAAGCATTTATAACATTATACAAAGTATTCGTAAACATTTATAAGCATTTAAAATAGCTTATTCATGAAAATTTGAATAATGTCTTATGATGACCTTTCATTAGGCCTACACATGGTAACCACTAGGGGACAGTCATGCATCATTCACGATGGTAAAACACTTGAATAGAAGGTAAATGAAGTTGTGCGCCTATTATACTCACAATCTCTTTGCTGTGTTTATCAAACGTCGCTTTGACAAAGAGCGCTCCCAGGGCGAAGCCGAGTGTGTCATCTGTGTTCCCAATGCAGGTCTGCCATCGAGGTGTGCAGGACTGAGCGAACACACAACCAAGATACGTTTCTCACCAGCTGTTTATTCTATACTTTTGGTTTTTGGAAAAGTGTGTGGCAGCACACATTCCTTGCTATGAGCCAAAACACAGTCTCACATAAAAATCACCAGGTCCAGTTACCCTGACACAGATTAAGCCTAGTCCAGGACTAAAAAGCATGCTCAACAGAGAATCTCCATTGAAATTTCTTTTTAGTCCAGGACTAGGCTTAATCTGTGTCCGGGAAACTGGCCCTAACAAGGTATTTCCTGAAGCAGGGTTATCCCTAGTGCACTACTTTTAACCAGAGCCATATGGGCCCTAGTCAAAAGTAGTGCACTACATAGGGAATAGGGTACCATTTAGGACTCAGCCTAAAAACACACCTTCTTGGTTCCATACAGGCTCTCTAGCAGCTTGTCCTGGGCGTTCTCAAAGCGCTGGTCTAGACTGGACGCTCCTTTCTGCACCAGGTTCCAGATCATGTAGTTGTTGAGCAGGCTGAGAGACGTGGAGAGACAGGAGAGACAGGGAGAGACAGGGAGAGATGAGGAGAGACAGGGAGAGACAGGGAGAGATGAGGAGAGACAGGGAGAGATGAGGAGAGACAGGGAGAGACAGGGAGAGACAGGGAGAGATGAAGAGAGACGGGGAGAGACAGGGAGAGACAGGGAGAGACGGGGAGAGACAGGGAGAGACGGGGAGAGACAGGGAGAGACAGGGAGAGACAGGGAGAGACAGGGAGAGACGGGGAGAGACGGGGAGAGACGGGGAGAGATGAGGAGAGACGGGGAGAGACAGGAGAGACAGGGAGAGACAGGGAGAGATGAAGAGAGACGGGGAGAGACGGGGAGAGACGGGGAGAGACAGGGAGAGATGAGGAGAGACGGGGAGAGACAGGGAGAGACGGGGAGAGACGGGGAGAGACGGGGAGAGACGGGGAGAGACAGGGAGAGATGAAGAGGAAACATGAGGACAAGTGGGTGACAAGGATAAGAAAAGAAACAGCAACAGTCAATGGTTGGGGCAAAACTGGTTGCAGGGACGTCATTATGACGTATTCCATGATGTTATGGTCAGGACAGGTTGTATATCGGTTGTATAAGGAATTTTGGTAACACTTTCTATGAAGACCATTTGCATAATGCATTATACAGCAATATACATGTACTCATAATGCACTATGATAGAGTAATAATGCAGTATTTAGTTATAAAGTAGACACACATAAAGACTCATATAGACTCATATTTCTATATACCAATAGTATAAACATAATCACTTACAGCAAAGTGATTCAACATTTCTGGCCACTTTTTCCTCATTGATCATACAGCATTATAAGGACCATCAGTGTGATGTATTTCTAATGATTTTGTCAATGAGCAGCACATCCTTATTACTGCATCATATAATCTTTGTTGTGGTGTGTTATAGTATACTTATAAGCCACTATAAAGTCATCTTTGATTGCTTAAGGTGAAGTGATGAAATACCTAAGGGAGACAGATATAATACAATATAAACTATTACTATACAATTATAAAGTGGTCATTGTCTGCTTTCAGTAAAGTAAAACATTCTGCACATTTCATTGACACAACACAGTGGTCATAGAGTATGGCGCTAGCAATGCTAAGGTCAGGGCCGGTCCTTGCTGTTCTGCTGCCCTAGGTGAGACCAAAAATAGTCCCAGTAAGCAAAATGACGTTGAAAAGACGTCTCAAATACGTATTTTCCCGATGTTGAAGTTAGGTTTAATTTAGGTTCTGAATGAAAGGTGAAAAGGTATTTTCCGTATGTTTAAAATACATATTTTCCAGGACGTTAAAAAGGGGTATTTTCCGGACATTGAAAAATACGTATTCAGGTTCATATTCAGTTCTGAATGAAAGTTGAAAATACTTATTTTCCGGATGTTGAAAATACTTATTTTCTAGACGTTGAAAATATAGTATGTATTTTCCGGTTGTTGAAATAAGGCTAATTTTTTGTTCTGAATGAAAGCTGAAAACAAGTAATTTATAGACGTCTACGTTTGGGCCAAATCAAGGCTGGTCCAGACCGGACAAAATCTGAACCAAACATAGATGTCTATGATTGGTCTATGTTTGGTTCAGATTTGGTCTGGACCAGACCAAAAAACAATGTCCGTGGATGTGGAAATCAAGACCTGTCTGGACTGCACCAAAAAAAAGACGTCAAAAAGGCATCGGCATAGGTCCGTGCTTACTGAGGTGTAGCCAACAGTGTTGCCTGAAATTGAATTTTATGAATGCCCATCTATGTGGTAAGCCTACCATTTGTAAAACACCAAAAAGATGTCCAGATCGGAAAGGACCAAAGAAATACGTCCATAAGACGTCGACTTGTCTTTACTGGGGTGTAGCCTTCCATTTCGGCCCCAATGGAATTTTATGAATGCCCATCCATGTGGTAGGCCCACACTTTGTAAAACAGGCCATTGCATTGAATTTATTAGTCCTTATTCCTGTGACTAATCAATTTGACTATTTAAACTCTGAATATCAGCTACCCAACTTTATCAGGAGTTATCGTGAGCCTATTTTCAATGTGTTTACACAATGGGAAATGCAGAAGAATTTTCTTTTTCGCTATGATCAGCTTATCAAAAATGTACAGATACAAACCTGATCAAACACTGATCATGACAATGGGGTGAAACTCCTGGACAACAGTTGTGATTGTCCATTCAATATTGTCCATTTTACTTTGACATCTCCTGTTTTAGGATACTGTATGTTGTTTGTTAACATGAAAGCGCATTTTTTATTTTATTGAGCACCATTTAGGTTAGGCTATTTGATCAGAGAAAGCTGCATGATGTAAAAAGTGTCCATCTCATGACATTGTCATACATTTTATCTCCAGCCTGTAGGCTACAGAAAAGGCCACATTCTCTTTCTACCATATCCTATTTCTGCTACATGATTTATGTTAGATTATTTGTTTGACAAAATGTTGGTGAAGCGCCGCACCGATGCATCTCTCCAACAGCACCCTGGAGAGGTGCGCTGGGAATGGACAAGCAAAATACTTTGACAAAGTGGGCACTGCTTATCACAGGGCGGCATCAGCGCTCACCTAAGAAGCCCATATGCCACTGGTTGAGAGGAATTATCATGGTTTTAGGGCAGAATTATGTGAGGTTTTATGTGTTGTTGTTGGAGGTGCGTCTTGGTCAGTTTAGCTCAGAAAATGCCGTCCTCGTCAATCTGCCGCCATAGGGGGCGCCTAATCCTGCCTAATGAGCGGGCCGGCCATGGCTAAGGTTATGGGTTTGATTCCCACTGGGACCATACAGTGCATTCGGAAAGTCCTCAGACCCTTTACTCAGTAGTTTGTTGAAGCACCTTTGGCAGCGATTACAGCCTCGAGTCTTCTTGGGTATAACGCTACAAGCTTAGCACACCTGTATTTGGGGAGTTTCTCCCATTCTTCTCTGCAGATCCTCTCAAGTCCGGGTTCTGTCTGGGCCACTCAAGAACATTCAGAAACTTGTCCCGGAGCCACTCCTGCGTTGTCTTGGCTGTGTGCTTAGGGTCGTTATCCTGTTGGAAGGTGAACCTTTGCCCCAGTCTGAGAGCAGGTTTTCATCAAGGATCTCTCTGTACTTTGCTCCGTTCATCTTTTCCTCGATCCTGACAAGTCTCCCAGTCCCTGTCGCTGAAAAACAACCCCACAGCATGATGCTGCCACCACCATTTTTCCCCGTAGGGATGGTGCCAGGTTTCCTCCAGACGAGACGCTTGGCATTCAGGCCAAAGAGTTCAATCTTGGTTTCATCAGACCAGAGAATCTTGTTTATTATGGTCTGAGAGTCCTTTAGGTGCCTTTTGGCAAACTCCAAGCAGGCTGTCATGTGCCTTTTACTGAGGAGTGGCTTTCGTCTGGCCACTCTACCATAAAGGCCTAATTGGTGGAGTGCTGCAGAGATGGTTGTCCTTCTGGAAGGTTGTCCCATCTCCACAGCGGAACTCTGGAGCTCTGTCAGAGTGGCCATCAGGTTCTTGGTCACCTCCCTGACCAAGGCCCTTCTCGCCCGATTCCCCAGTTTGGCCGGGCGGCCAGCTCTAGGAAGAGTCTTGGTGGTTCCAAACTTCTTCCATTTAAGAATGATAGAGGCCACTGTGCTCTTGGGGACCTTCAATGCTGCAGAAATGTTTTGGTAGCCTTCCCCAGATCTGTGCCTCGACACAATCCTGTCTCGGAGCTCTACGGACAATTCCTTCGACCTCATTGCTTGGTTTTTGCTCTGACATGCACTGTCAACTGTGGGACCTTATATAGACAGGTGTGTGCCTTTCCAAATCATGTCCAATCAATTGAATTTACCACAGGTGGACTCCAATCAAGTTGTAGAAACATCTCAAGGATGATCAATGGAAACAGGATGCACCTGAGCTCAATTTAGAGTCTCATAGGAAAGGGTTTGAATACTTATGTAAATAAGGTATTTCTGTTTTTTTGTTTTAATACATTTGCAAACATTTCTAAAAACCTGTTTTCGCTTTGTCATTATGGGGTATTGTGTGTAGAATTGTTTTTATTTAATCCATTTTAGAATAAGGCTGTAACGTAACAAAATGTGGAAAAAGGGAAGGGGTCTGAATACTTTCCGAACAAACTGTATATACTGTACTAAACATTTATGCACTTACTGTACTGTGAGTCGCTTTGGGTAAAAGCATCAGCTAAATGCTAAGTATATATTTTTTATTTATTCTATATTATTAGAAATTATTGTACAATTCTGTCGCACAGGGCTTGGATCTTTTTGTGCCAAATTGCCAATTGTAAGATTTTGAGGCAATTTATGTTATGTTTTGCAACTTTTTAAATAAAGAAGAATGAGAATGAATGAAGAGCTTTGTCTTGTGTCATCATGAAATGTGCAGAAAGTGTCACTATACTGAAAGCAGACAGCTTATGGTGTATTATATCAGTCTGCCTTAGGCATTTCATCACTTTACCTAAAGCAATCAAATTTTATTTTATAGTGGCTTGTACAGTAAATATGCAATATCAGACCATAACAAAGATTATGATGCAGTAATAATGATGCTCATTGACAAAAACGTTAGAAATGCATCACACTGATGGTCATTTAAATGCTGTATGATCCTTGAGGAAAAAGTGACCAGCAATTATGAAGCACTATGTTGCTGTACATTATGTGTGTCTAACTACGCTAATACTACATTTTTATTTTATCATGGTGCATTATTATGCTGTATAATGCATTATGCACATGGGCTTCATAGAAAGTGTTACCGTAACGGTAGTTAATGCCTTTTTAGCAAAAATATGTCTATCTGGTTGTAATGTGAATAACATACAGTGGAGAGAACAAGTATTTGATACACTGCCGATTTTGCAGGTTTTCCTACTTACAAAGCATGTAGAGGTCTGTAATTTTTTATCATAGGTACACTTCAACTGTGATAGACGGAATCTAAAACAAAACTCCAGAAAATCACATTGTATGATTTTTAAGTAATTAATTTGCATTTTATTGCATGATGTAAGTATTTGATCACCTACCAACCAGTAAGAATTCTGGCTGTCACAGACCTGTTAGTTTTTCTTTAAGAAGCCCTCCTGTTCTCCACTCATTACCTGTATTAACTGCACCTGTTTGAACTCGTTACCTGTATAAAAGACACCTGTCCACACACTCATTCAAACAGACTCCAACCTCTCCACAATGGCCAAGACCAGAGAGCTGTGTAAGGACATCAGGGATAAAAGTGTAGACCTGCACAAGGCTGGGATGGGCTACAGGACAATAGGCAAGCAGCTTGGTGATAAGGCAACAACTGTTGGTGCAATTATTAGAAAATGGAAGAAGTTCAAGATGACGGTCAATCACCATCGGTCTGGGGTTCCATGCAAGATCTCACCTCGTGGGGCATCAATGATCATGAGGAAGGTGAGGGATCAGCCCAGAACTACACGGCAGGACCTGGTCAATGACCTGAAGAGAGCTGGGACCACAGTCTCAAAGAAAACCATTAGTAAAACACTACGCCGTCACGGATTAAAATCCTGCAGCGCACGCAAGGTCCCCCTGCTCAAGCCAGCGCATGTCCAGGCCCGTCTGAAGTTTGCCAATGACCATCTGGATGATCCAGAGGAGGAATGGGAGAAGGTAATGTGGTCTGATGAGACAAAAATATAGCTGTTTGGTCTAAACTCCACTCGCCGTGTTTGGAGGAAGAAGAAGGATGAGTACAACCCCAAGAACACCATCCCAACCGTGAAGCATGGAGGTGGAAACATCATTCTTTGGGGATGCTTTTTTGCAAAGGGGACAGGACAACTGCACCGTATTGAGGGGAGGATGGATGGGGCCATGTATCGCGAGATCTTGGCCAACAACCTCCTTCCCTCAGTAAGAGCATTGAAGATGGGTCGTGGCTGGGTCTTCCAGCATGACAACGACCCAAAACACACAGCCAGGGCAACTAAGGAGTGTCTCCGTAAGAAGCATCTCAAGGTCCTGGAGTGGCCTAGCCAGTCTCCAGACCTGAACCCAATAGAAAATCTTTGGAGGGAGCTGAAAGTCCATATTGCCCAGCGACAGCCCCGAAACCTGAAGGATCTGGAGAAGGTCTGTATGGAGGAGTGGGCCAAAATCCCTGCTGCAGTGTGTGCAAACCTGGTCAAGACCTACAGGAAACATATGATCTCTGTAATTGCAAACAAAGGTTTCTGTACCAAATATTAAGTTCTGCTTTTCTGATGTATCAAAAACTTATGTCATGCAATAAAATGCAAATTAATTACTTAAAAATCATACAATGTGATTTTCTGGATTTTTGTTTTAGATTCCGTCTCTCACAGTTGAAGTGTACCTATGATAAAAACTACAGACTTCTACATGCTTTGTAAGTAGGAAAACCTGCAAAATCGGCAGTGTATCAAATACTTGTTCTCCCCACTGTATATAAAAAAATACATATTTCCCATGACATCTTGATCTTCTCATGAAAAAGACCTCTTTACCTGGTTGTAAAAGAGACCACCTAATTGTAATCTGGTTATATGATGTCTTGTCAATCAGAAAACCAGTTTACAATCAGAAATTCACGTCATAAAGACGTGCCAAATGTTCCCAGGTTAGCGTTTTTTGTCATGAATCTTGTTCTGGAGGCAGCTCTGCAGAGTGGCCAGTTGCTGGCACAGCCACAAAGTCATTACATTTAATAAAAAAATTAAACCTAACCTTGTGTTGCGGAAATCGCGCAGTTCTGCCACCAGGACAAGACATGACAAAACACTGGTAAGTCAGGTCATGCGGTCAGGAAAAACCTCTGGCCCTTAATATGGTGCATGGCAGCCCATTCGGCTATGACACAATATGTTACGGGTGGGCCCTGAAGTATTTCCTGACCACGTGACCTAACCTTTGGCTGACAGGAGATAAGGACGACCAGGTTGAGTTCCGTCCAGGTCCTTACCTGCGTTCGGTCTTGTTGATCAGGTCAGACACCTGCTGCAAGTACTCCTTGGCATATAGCACCACAGGCTCTGTGTCGTTCAGGTCCAGAGGGGACAGGGCAGAGGATAGGTAGTCCAGCCAGTCCACCGCCGGAGCCAGCAGCTGAGGGCGAGAGAGGTCAGAGGTCAGAGGTTTTTAGACATTTTCAGAACTCAAAAGTGGCCTCATGTCGAAAGGAGTCCGTGTCCCACATAACTTAATCTTTCCACATACAAAATTGGATCTATCTATCCAATTCATGAGGCATATTGTTGGATCCACACAACAGATCTCAACATTGTTTTGTTTTTGTAAGCTGTGGGAATTCCCTCCATATAGATGGTGGACTAACCACAATACCACCCAGGCAAGAACATTAGACTGCATTTCAGGTCTGAAACAGTCTGACAAACTTAGATCTTTTGTGTGATTTAGGCTATGTTCTGATTTTCTACACTTCTCCCGAAGTTTGCACTCATACACTCCCCCTCATGGATTTAAAAGGAATGGACTGGTGTAAGGAATATGGTGGAAAATTCCCTCCAGCCATGCTTGCTCCAATCCAATGATTTTAAATGCATTCGTGGGAGTGAACAAGTGCACACTTCTGGAGAAGGGTAGATCATCTGAATGCAACCTTTGATATGTTACTGATATGATCCTATTACTTCAAACTAAACCAAATGATCCATCATATTTAGACACAGAGAGAGAGAGAGAGAGAGAGAGAGAGAGAGAGAGAGAGAGAGAGAGAGAGAGAGAGAGAGAGGGAAAACAGTGAGAGGAGCCTGCAGCTGTAGAAGAACAGAGGCGACTAGCCCTCATATATTTGCGTTCCAGGTCCCAGATGCAATCACAGCCGCCCTTTCCTGGAGGGTCTGTAGGGGTATTACAGTAAAATCCTCATCCCTCAGCCCCAGACCCCCATCCCACTGCTTTAATCCAGAGCGTGGGAGCCGAGCACAGAGCAGGGAGGGAGAGAGATGATGGGATCAAAAACAAGTCTGTTGTTTAGTTGTTTGGTCTTTAATGCACAAAAGAAAGACTGTGACAGTTAGTACAGTACATACAGTATGACTACCTGTTACTTCTGGCAATCCTTATGATGCATTGTAACATGTTTAGGAATTAGTGTTGTCACGATACCAGAATTTTAACTTTGATACCGAAATACAGTGGGGAAAAATAGTATTTAGTCAGCCACCAATTGTGCAAGTTCTCCCACTTAAAAAGATGAGAGAGGCCTGTAATTTTCATCATAGGTACACGTCAACTATGACAGACAAATTGAGATTTTTTTTACAGAAAATCACATTGTAGGATTTTTAATTTATTTATTTGCAAATTATGGTGGAAAATAAGTATTTGGTCAATAACAAAAGTTTCTCAATACTTTGTTATATACCCTTTGTTGGCGATGACACAGGTCAAACGTTTTCTGTAAGTCTTCACAAGGTTTTCACACACTGTTGCTGGTATTTTGGCCCATTCCTCCATGCAGATCTCCTCTAGAGCAGTGATGTTTTGGGGCTGTCGCTGGGCAACACAGACTTTCAACTCCCTCCAAAGATTTTCTATGGGGTTGAGATCTGGAGACTGGCTAGGCCACTCCAGGACCTTGAAATGCTTCTTACGAAGCCACTCCTTCGTTGCCCGGGCGGTGTGTTTGGGATCATTGTCATGCTGAAAGACCCAGCCACGTTTCATCTTCAATGCCCTTGCTGATGGAAGGAGGTTTTCACTCAAAATCTCACGATACATGGCCCCATTTATTCTTTCCTTTACACGGATCAGTCGTCCTGGTCCCTTTGCAGAAAAACAGGCCCAAAGCATGATGTTTCCACCCCCATGCTTCACAGTAGGTATGGTGTTCTTTGGATGCAACTCAGCATTCTTTGTCCTCCAAACACGACGAGTTGAGTTTTTACCAAAATATAATTTTGGTTTCATCTGACCATATGACATTCTCCCAATCCTCTTCTGGATCATCCAAATGCACTCTAGCAAACTTCAGACGGGCCTGGACATGTACTGGCTTAAGCAGGGGGACACGTCTGGCACTGCAGGATTTGAGTCCCTGGCTGCGTAGTGTGTTACTGATGGTAGGCTTTGTTCCTTTGGGCCCAGCTCTCTGCAGGTCATTCACTAGGTCCCCCCGTGTGGTTCTGGGATTTTTGCTCACCGTTCTTGTGATCATTTTGACCCCACGGGGTGAGATCTTGCGTGGAGCCCCAGATCGAGGGAGATTATCAGTGGTCTTGTATGTCTTCCATTTCTTAATAATTGCTCCCACAGTTGATTTCTTCAAACCAAGCTGCTTACCTATTGCAGATTCAGTCTTCCCAGCCTTGTGCAGGTCTACAATTTTGTTTCTGGTGTCCTTTGACAGCTCTTTGGTCTTGGCCATAGTGGAGTTTGGAGTGTGACTGTTTGAGGTTGTGGACAGGTGTCTTTTATACTGATAACAAGTTCAAACAGGTGCCATTAATACAGGTAACGAGTGGAGGACAGAGGAGCCTCTTAAAGAAGAAGTTACAGGTCTGTGAGAGCCAGAAATCTTGCTTGTTTGTAGGTGACCAAATACTTATTTTCCACCATAATTTGCAAATAAATTCATTAAAAATCCTACAATGTGATTTTCTGGATTTATTTTCCTCAATTTGTCTGTCATAGTTGACGTGCACCTATGATGAAAATTACAGGCCTCTCTCATCTTTTTAAGTGGGATAACTTGCACAATTGGTGGCTGACTAAATACTTTTTTCCCCCACTGTATATTACCGCCACAACGGCAGTCACAAGTCATGACCGCCGTCAAATTCCACGTGACCGTAACGAAGCATCTCCAAAACTCTGTTCTTCTTTTGATGGTCATTAGTAGCCTACCAAACTTGCTAACAGCCAGTCGCTAATGGCCCGGTACTCAACGCTCTATTGTCTAATCACTCTGACATCAATGCAAATGCAATCGAAAATGAAATCAAACACTTCATGAGAACCCTGGCATTCAGAGTTTGAGCGGAATAGGATCACCTGTTGCGCAGCGAAAGCCAGCTTCTCATAGCTGGTTGATGCATGGAATGAAATAAGTGTTCCTATAAACCCATGTTGCCAACATTTCTATAGGTTATGCTATGCAATTATGTGAAAAAAAATGAGTTTTGATGGCCTCTTTTAAAAAGAGGAGGATCCCATCAGCTTTCTATAGGCTAGGCCTACTATATTTATTTCTCAACTTTCCTAATATAAAGCACGTTGCCTACTTGGCTGGCATGAAAATGAACAGCGTGAAAAGCATCGTCCATTCGCTATTCAAGTGCATAAGGATGACATGTATTTTTTCCCCTGTCCCTGTTCTGATAGGTGCATGATAATGGCTCATTCTAAATAAAACATTATTCTACACATATAGCTGTATGTAAAGACCAGATGAAATTGAGAATAGGCTGATGGGTGAGAATATTATCAAGTGCTTGTCAAATTATGAATGAGAGACTGATGAAGTGTGTGCAACCTGCGCAAGAAACAGAGCAGAGTGCATGCCTTTCATGCAACTTTTTTTCAAATCATCATTAGAGTTGCATCATGCAGGGCTTAGAATGTATTAGAAATCAAAACATATAGCCTAAGTTTTGTATCACAACTAAAGTTGCGTAAAAAACTCTTAGGTTAACCATATAGGAGGACCTGTTTCAAATGATCACTTTGTTAACCGCTCAACACAGAATATCTGCACTGGAAAACATCAAAACAAGACTACAGGAACACCGCTTTGGATATTCAGCTATGTTAAATTGTATTCTTCTTACTATTAAATAATAGAAAATAATGCCACAGGAATTATAAGCAAATCTTGTCTACTAAATGAACTAGTGTAGCCCACAGCCATATGGCATAGCCAGATCAGGGCCTATAACATAAGGACGACTGAGAATATGCTATTCTGTTCTTCTGAAATAGGCTACATTTCTTCATATCATAATGTTTCTTTAGACCTGCCTTAAATAAAAAATAGATTTATTGTGATGGTGTGGGCTATATTAAATGGATTTATTAAAATGTAGATGTTCCAAAAGGTCTGCATCAGTGGCTTTTAGGCTATGAGTGGAAGCCTGGAGATGCTAAACGTGTTTATGTTAATTAACGGTCATTGATTATCGGTGTTTAGCGCACGTGATGGAGTTTCCAAATCATATGGCCACTGTACTGATACAAATAATAATTATTCTGCCAGATAGGCATAGGCTACTTTCTACTTCACTTTTAATTGAGAAGGTTTTTGGGAATACCTGAAGATGGTTATCGTTATCATCGCTAGTGGCTACACAAAGTGGTAGACATATGCGCACCGCACACTGACAGACAAGGGCATTCCAGTATGGTTGCCTCTTCAGAAAGTTGCAGGGAATACAATGCATTCTGTTAATGTCTTATGATAAACTTGGGCAAATACATCTTTCTAATGAGTTCAATACACGTTGATTTTCAAACGTGAGGCACATTTGATAGAAGAACCGTTTCGGTGTAATGTGCAACACTAGTAAGGATAGGATCATAGTAGCTCCCATTCATTGACGGTATGTCTAGGTATTCCGGAGTTGTAGTAGAAAACGTTAGGGGCCCGTCATGTCATCATTAAAAGCTTTGCTCATCGATCACTTACTCCCCATTTAAGTTTTTTTTGCAACAGACAACGAAAATGTGCGTTTCTTATTGGACAAGTCCAGCTAGGCCTTCCCTGTTTTAATCCATTTGCTTCTGTTTGGTGCCTAATGTACATGACCCTGGAGCTTTAATGATCCAGTGTTTAGAACCATCAGAAACAGAACAAATAATCTACGACATTGCCATTCAAAGTCATGCCTCATCAACTCGACTGTGTTTGCAGGCTTAAGGTTAACAGAGAGATTACATTCAAATTTCAGTGGTATACACAATCTACCCATTACAACCCATTTCACTGATTCATCCCATCCTACAAATGCTTTCAATTCCTATGAAACAGAGAACCATCTCAACTGTCTCTCCATTCATTAATTATATCTCTGTTTGTTGATGAAAGGCTCCTCCATGTCCACCAACCACTAGCATTCCCTTCACCATCTCTCTGCAGTTCTGCTGCTGCCTTGGCGATAGAAAGGCTTAGCAACAGCTCTTGGCAACAGTCACCTTGGCAACCAGGGGACCATTCAAAAACAAAAAAAAGAGGACTGCAGGAGAGGCAGAGTAGAATAGTCCTCAGAGGATGGATAAAACACAGACAAAAGTGTGAAGGGGCTCAGGGTTTCAGAAGGCGGTAGTGCGTTGGTGTGGGAGAGGGTGCGAGAAAAAGCCATGCATGTTTTGACACTGTAATGGAGGCAGGAGAAAAAGTGGGAACAGACTGTAATTGATTAAGAGTAAACTCTGAGAGGCTTTTCAGCCTAATCCGATGGCATGGGTTTCTGATCCACTCAAAATCCACCTCACAAAAAATCCACATAAAATCCACCTCACATATGTACCTCTCTCTCGCCCTCTCTCTCTCATACATACTCACATCCAAGCAACTGCTTGCACATGGAAGCCCACATGTTCTCTCTGTAATTCCCCCACCCGACAGACGCCCACACACCTGCAGCTCGGCGATGGTGATCTTGTGGTAGATCTTCTCCTCGTCGCGACGTTCGTCCTGCGGTACAGTGATGTTGGCGAGCGCCGTTTCAAAGTCTAGGATCTGCTGCATCTGGCTCTTTGTGGAGTTTTTATCCCCCCCCAATAGCAGGCTCAGCTCCACCATGTAGTCCAGATACGCCTTCAACACCTGGGAGGGGATACAGGATAAGCTCAGGGTCGTGTTCAGTCGCCACCAAATAGAAGACAACGGTGCGAAACGGGGAGGTACAATCTGAACTTTCATTTTTCATTGCAAACCCTCCACCTGGATTTTGTGCTAGGCCTGCTCTAATTAGTGTTAACCAGTGGAGGCTCCAGTGGATGACCATCCTCCTCAGTGAATTTAATAAAACAACTAATATTGAAACATTAAAAAAAGTTATCATTTTCAGATAAAACTATACTAAATATATTAATGTCACCAAATAATTGATTAAAACACACTGATTTGCAATGAATGTCTACAGTAGCCTCAGCAGAACTCTGTAGGGTAGCACCATGGTGTAGCCGGAGGACAGCTAGCTTATGTCCTCCTCTGGGTACATTGACTTCAATACAAAACCTAGGAGGCTCATGGTTCTCACCCCCTTCCATAGACTTACACAGTAATTATGACATCTTCCGGAGGACTTCCACCAACCTCTCAGAGCTCTTGCAGCATGAACTGACATGTTGTCCACCCAATCAAAGGATCAGAGAATGAATCGAGTACTGAAAGCATAAGCTACAGCTAGCTAGCACTGCAGTGCATAAAATGTGGTGAGTAGTTGGCTCAAAGAGAGAGAAAGACAATAGTTGAACAGTTTTGAACAAAGAGAGCGCTCTATATTTCATAGTATTATTATTTTTTTCACTTACTTAGCTAATGTAAAATGTAGCTAGCTAGTTTAGCCTACTTAAACACCCAGCTCAAACAGAGAAGGATGCTATGTTAGCTAGCTGGCTATGGCTATCCAACACTGGAACTATTCCAAGTCAAGGTAAGCTTTTGGTTGTATAAAGTTATTGCCACCGGGGCCCGCCGATGTAACTGCTAAACTGCTTGCTGCTGACTACTCTGTACTGTATGATTGAAGTGGGTTTACTATCGCGTTAGTTCTATTAGCTATGTTAACTATGAAGTGACAATGATGTAGGCTGTGTGTAGCGGTTAGCGGTCATGATATTAAGGTTTGGCTTCGAAAGGTATTTTTGCCTGGTCACAGACAGCTGATGTGTTGTGCACTGAAGTCCACAAGCGAAGGGAAAAGGTGAGATGAGAGCGCGTAGATACAGTGGCAAGAAAAGGTATGTGAACCCTTTGTAATTACCTGAATTTCTGTATAAAGTGGTCATAAAATCTGATCTGATCTTCATCTAAGTCACAACAATAGACACACACAGTCTGCTTAAACGAATAACACACAATTATACGTTGTCATGTCTTTATTGAACACATCGTGTAAACATTTGGTTTACACGATGTGTTTACACATCGTGTAAACACATCGTGTAAACCAGTGCAGGGTGGGAAAAGTATGTGAACCCTTGGATTTAATAACTGATTGACCCTCCTTTGGCAGCAATAACCTCAACCAAACATTTTCTGTAGTTGCAGATCAGACCTGCACAACGAGGTCAGGACTCTGACTGGGCCACTCCAGAAGGCGTATTTTCTTCTGTTGAAGCCATTCTGTTGTTGATTAACTTCTGTTTTTTGGGTCGTTGTCCTGTTGCATCACCCAACTTCTGTTGAGCTTCAATTGGCGGACAGATAACCTTACTTGCTCTTGCAAAATATCTTGATAAACTTGGGAATTCATTTTTCCGTCGATGATAGCAAGCTGTCGAGGCCCTGAGGCAGCAAAGCAGCCCCAAATCATGATGTTCCCTCCACCATACTTTACAGTTGGGATGAGGTTTTGATGTTGGTGTGCTGTGCCTTTTTTTCTCCACACAGTGTTGTGTGTTCCTTCCAAACAACTCAACTTTGGTTTAATCTGTCCACAGAATATTTTGCCAGTAGCGCTGGAACATCCAGGTGCTCTTTTGCGAACTTCAGACGTGCAGCAATGGTTTTTTTTGGACAGCAGAGGCTTCTTCCGTGGTGTCCTCCCATTAACAGCATTCTTGTTTTGCATTTTACGTATCGTAGACTCGTCAACAGAGATATTAGCATGTTCCAGAGATTTCTGTAAGTCTTTAGCTGACACTCTAGGATTCTCTTAACCTCATTGAGCATTCTGCGCTGTGCTCTTGCAGTCATCTTTGCCAGACGGCCACTCATAGGGAGAGCAGCAACATGCTGAACTTTCTCCATTTATAGACAATTTGTCTTACCTTGGACTGATGAACATCAAGGCTTTTAGAGATACTTTTGTAACCCTTTCCAGCTTTATGCAAGTCAACCAATCCTAATCTTAGGTCTTTTGAGATCTCTTTTGTTCGAGGCATGGTTCGCATCAGGCAATGCTTCTTGTGAATAGCAAACTCAAATTTTGTGAGTGTTTTTTTATAGGGCAGGGCAGCTCTAACCAACATCTCCAATCTCGTCTCATTGATTGGACTCCAGGTTAGCTGACTCCTGACTCCAATTAGCTTTTGGAGAAGTCATTAGCCTAGGGGTTCACATACTTATTCCAACCTACACTGTGAATGTTGAAATTATGTATTCAATATAGACAAGAAAAATACCATAATTTGTGTGTTATTAGTTTAAGCAGACTGTGTGTGTCTATTGTTGTGACTTAGATGAAGTTCAGATCAGATTTTATGACCAATCTATTCAAAAATCCAGGTAATCCCAAAGGGTTCACATTCTTTTTTTTGCCACTGTAAATGCAAAAAGGAATTATATATACAATGAGCTGTTTGTATGTGTCTGGTATGAAAGTGAACTGTGTTTACGTGTGATCAGGGGTGTATTCATTGCGCCGATTCTGTTGAATTTTTTTTCTTAAAGCAAACGGAACGAAACAGGGATAAACATACCTGAATTTGTCCAATAGAAACTCTCGTTTGCAACTGTTGGACTAATGATTACACCCTAGATCAGCTAGTTGCAGGCAAGAGTGTGCAAGGCGGTATTGAATGTGCCACTGTCTTTCATCTTGATTAAACCTATTGATGTTACATTGAGCTTGGTGAATTGAATATGAATGACAGTCATCCAAAATGCTGTAATAGAAATAAGGCCATGTTCATTAAAACAAATCTTAAACATCACCGACCGCCACTGGTGTTATCACACCTGATTCTAATCAGCTGCTCCTTAGGATCTTGATTAGCTGAATCAGGTGTGTCATAGTAGGGCTGCACATCTAGTTGGTCTCCAGGAGGAGGGTTGCCCACCCCCCCCCCCCCCGGGATAGTCTGCAGACTAGAGTAGGGCCAGGAGTTTTTCTTGACCACATGACCTGATCAGAAAAAAACTCTGGCTACAGTGACTATAACTAAGGCCCAGAGTTTTTCCTGGTGAAACACCATTTGTTAGTCAAAACTCCTGGCTCTACTCTGGTGTGGTACAGTCACAAGAGAATGAGAGCATTCAAATTGAAACACCTGCTGCTGGCTTCATTTTCTGTGGAAGGTTTTAGTCTTTCTAGTTCGTTGTACAGTTAAGCTAAAATATGCTGGGGATGTGTCAGAGAGATTTGTGACAGGCTATAGGGAGGGGAAAGTAGAATGGAACAACAATGTTTAGATAAACAGATAATGGATGACCCCCTCCACAGAAGCCTGGGAAGATACATCAGGAGGGGAAGCCGCCATCTTCTGCAGACAGTACATGTATGACGACATGATGATATTGTGATGTTGTGAAGATTTAATGATGTTGTGAAGCTTGAAATGCCGAACGAAATTCCTAAGTTTGGGATAATAAAGGTGTTGTATTCTACAGTAATCATAGGCGGTTGGTGGCACCTTAATTGGGGAGGACAAGCTCATAGTAATAGCTGGAACGGAATCAATGGAATGGTATCCAACACATCAAACACATGGTTTCCATGTGTTTGATGCCATTCCATTTACTCAATTCCAGCCATTATTATGAGCCGTCCTCCCCTCAGCAGCCTCCTGTGACAGTAATATACTGTATTTTAATGTATTATGGTACCTCATGTTGACAGCCATAGGTAGGAAAAGACCCCACATGTACTGGCTGGCCCCCACCCACCTCACCCCCCCCCCCACCCCCTCCAGCCACCTGAAATTGACTCACCTTCTCATTGGCTGTCTTGTTGAGGTAATAGTCCCGCGAGGGGAGGAACAGCCCCGATTGGTCCACCTGGCGAAAATGCATCAACAGGTGAGCAAACACACTAATCTTAAGGGAGTATTAATTGCAGTGTGCAGAGTCCATTCACTCTCATGTTCGGCACCTGTTATTATATAAAAGCTGAAATGTGTGTGTGTGCTTGTGAATGTGTACGTGTGCACGTGCATGCGTACGTCTGTCTATGTGTTCCTACGTGTGTGGGTCTGTCTGTGTCTATGCATGCATGCCTATGTGTTTGTGTGTGTGTGCTAGTACATGTATTTTCATTTAGAAAGACCCAGAGCCAGAGCAGCTGACCTGGATGACGTTGCTGTTGGAATTCTTGGGGTCCACGCTGACTCCGATGGTGAAGAAGGGCTGGGCACGATAGGGGCCCGAAACTGTCTTCAGCACCTCCATGAAGTTGTCCTTCTCCCAGGGCCCTGTGATGTTCCAGCCCCCTGTCTGCAAACACACACACACACACACACACACACACACACACACACACACACACACACACACACAAACACACACACAGACAAAACAGAGGGATGACAAGCTCAGAGACACAGAGATAAATCTATGTTTTTTTTATTGGTATAAGATGAAGTTGCCCCTAGATGCTGTTTTTGGGTCAGTTTTGCATTTTTCCCCACTAATGTTTAAGGTCAGGATTGGGGATGGGGTTGCTGATCCTAGATCTATACTTAGGGAAAACTTCACCCCAGAGCATTTTTGATTTATCTCTATAGTATAATCAGAGCATTTTCTTCCAATTAATGGCTCAATTTTAATCATTTTATTAATTTGCACATTAAAGACAAAACAACGTGACACCTCCAGGAACACACACACATATTAAAATCGGATATTCAGATAAATGGCGTCTTGTCACAGGATGTGAGTAAGAGGACAGGGTGTGGTTTTTTCAAGGCCCATCCTAAGCAGAGTTACGGTTATCTGGAACAAGGCCATGATGACGCAGTAGCACAAGACTGGAGAAGTGAAAAGGTCTGGGAGTGTGCCAGCCCAGCTATTTCTTCAAATAATAACTGACAAACAGACATGGATTGATGGATGGGATGGATTGCTGCTAACCGTACACATGCAGGCACACAGGCAAGGAGGCACACATTCACACACACACACGCACACACACACACACACACACACATCAATCACGCCCAGTCCTATTTCTACAACTTGTGTCCTTAAATTTCCCATCTCCCTCAAACTTGCCACCTGGTATAAATAAGACAGGAGACAGACGAGCCGGTACATCAAGCTGCTTCTCAGCAGCCAGTCAATCCATCACTTCAGTTCTCATCAATAGGCAGATTAGAAAGGGGACAGTGAACTTGCAGCTATTTCATTCTTTATTCCTTTCTTCTTAAAAAATAAATAAATTCAGACACATTTTAATAAAATTAAAGACAGTACAGTGGGGAAAAATAGTATTTAGTCAGCCACCAATTGTGCAAGTTCTCCCACTTAAAAAGATGAGAGAGGCCTGTAATTTTCATCATAGGTACACGTCAACTATGACAGACAAATTGAGGAAAAAAATTCCTGAAAATCACATTGTAGGATTTTTTATGAATTTATTTGCAAATTATGGTGGAAAATAAGTATTTGGTCACCTACAAACAAGCAAGGTGTCTGGCTCTCACAGACCTGTAACTTCTTCTTTAAGAGGCTCCTCTGTCCTCCACTCGTTACCTGTATTAATGGCACCTGTTTGAACTTGTTATCAGTATAAAAGACACCTGTCCACAACCTCAAACAGTCACACTCCAAACTCCACTATGGCCAAGACCAAAGAGCTGTCAAAGGACACCAGAAACAAAATTGTAGACCTGCACCAGGCTAGGAAGACTGAATCTGCAATAGGTAAGCAGCTTGGTTTGAAGAAATCAACTGTGGGAGCAATTATTAGGAAATGGAAGACATACAAGACCACTGATAATCTCCCTCGATCTGGGGCTCCACGCAAGATCTCACCACGTGGGGTCAAAATGATCACAAGAACGGTGAGCAAAAATCCCAGAACCACACGGGGGGACCTAGTGAATGACCTGCAGAGAGCTGGGACCAAAGTAACAAAGCCTACCATCAGTAACACACTACGCCGCCAGGGACTCAAATCCTGCAGTGCCAGACGTGTCCCCCTGCTTAAGCCAGTACATGTCCAGGCCCGTCTGAAGTTTGCTAGAGTGCATTTGGATGATCCAGAAGAGGATTGGGAGAATGTCATATGGTCAGATGAAACCAAAATATAACTTTTTGGTAAAAACTCAACTCGTCGTGTTTGGAGGACAAAGAATGCTGAGTTGCATCCAAAGAACACCATACCTACTGTGAAGCATGGGGGTGGAAACATCATGCTTTGGGGCTGTTTTTCTGCAAAGGGACCAGGACGACTGATCCGTGTAAAGGAAAGAATGAATGGGGCCATGTATCGTGAAATTTTGAGTGAAAACCTCCTTCCATCAGCAAGGGCATTGAAGGTGAAACGTGGCTGGGTCTTTCAGCATGACAATGATCCCAAACACACCGCCCGGGCAACGAAGGAGTGGCTTCGTAAGAAGCATTTCAAGGTCCTGGAGTGGCCTAGCCAGTCTCCAGATCTCAACCCAATAGAAAATCTTAGGAGGGAGTTGAAAGTCCGTGTTGCTCAGCGACAGCCCCAAAACATCACTGCTCTAGAGGAGATCTGCATGGAGGAATGGGCCAAAATACCAGCAACAGTGTGTGAAAACCTTGTGAAGACTTACAGAAAACATTTGACCTGTGTCATTGCCAACAAAGGGTATATAACAAAGTATTGAGAAACTTTTGTTATTGACCAAATACTTATTTTCCACCATAATTTGCAAATAAATTCATTAAAAATCCTACAATGTGATTTTCTGGAGAAAAAAAATCTCATTTTGTCTGTCATAGTTGACGTGTACCTATGATGAAAATTACAGGCCTCTCTCATCTTTTTAAGTGGGAGAACTTGCACAATTGGTGGCTGACTAAACACTTTTTTTCCCCACTGTATAGAAGGAGGGAAGTGAAGAGCGGGTTTGTGACAAAGTAGTAGTGGGTCCGAGATTCAAACCCATGCGGTCAAGAGCATAATGTGTTGATGGTCAAAAAATATGGGGGATGTTTTAATTATATTGAATCCTTCAAGTAGTGCTGAGCGATTAGTGCTTTTTGAGGTCGGTTCAGTTTCGGTTAGATTATTACAAAATGACCACAGTTTTCGATTTTGGTTTAGAATATGTTTTTAAACATGATTTTAGAGCTTTTTAATGACAATTCCGAAGTCAAAAATAGTGAACATTCAATTGCCAAAACATTGAAAATATTCCTTAAAGTTATCATCTCGTCTCAGCTCAGGCAGTAGCCAAACAGACAGACAACATTAGATCTGTGCTCCCCATACTGTACTTTCATTAGTCATCATATTTACCTAGGCTAGCCTGCCTAAGCATGCTGCAGAGTTTTGACAATCATTTGACTTGTTCTTCAAAGTATACTGAACAAAAACATAAATGTAACATGCAACAATTTCAACAATTTTAATGAGTTACAGTTCATATAAGGAAATCAGTACATTAAAAAAATTAATTACGCCCTAATCTATGGATTTCACATGACTGGGCAGGGGCGCTGCCATGCGTGAGCCTGGGAGGGCATAGGCCCACCCACTTGGGAGCTAGGCCCACCCACTGGGGAGCCAAGACCAGCCAATCAGAATAGCCTTTTTCCCACAAAAGGGAAAAAGTATTTATTACAGACAGAAATACTCCTCAGTTTCATCAGCTGTCTGGGTGGCTGGTCTCAGATGATCCCGCAGGTGAAGAAGCCGGATGTGGAGGTCCGGGGCTGGCGTGGTTACACATGGTCTGCGGTTGTGAGGCCGGTTGGACTTACTGCCATATTCTCTAAAATGACGTTGGTATAGAAATTAATATTCAAATCTCTGGCAACAGCTCTGGTGGACATTCCTGCAGTCAGCATGCCAATTGCACGCTCCCTCAAAACTTGAGACATCTGTGGAATTGTGTTCTGTGACAAAAGCTCATTTTAGAGTGGCCTTTTATTGTCCCCAGCACAAGGTGCACCTGTGTAATGATCATGCTGTTTAATCAGCTTCTTGATATACCACACATGTCAGGTGGATGGATTATGTTGGCAAAGGAGAAATTCTCACTAATAGGAATGTAAACAAATGTGTTCGCTGTTGGCGGTAGGTGCACTTGATTCAGCAACCACATTGGGGGTGTCTTGCTAATTGCCTATAATTTCCACCTGTTGTCTATTCCATTTGCACAACAGCATGTGAAATGTATTGTCAATCAGTGTTGCTTCCGAAGTGGACAGTTTGATTTCACAGAAGTGTGATTGACTTGGAGTTACATTGTGTTGTTTAAGTGTTCCCTTAATTTTTTTGAGCAGTGTATATATTATGCTCACTTAGCTGTGCCTCACAAGTAGTACAACAGATTATCTATTACCAGTGTGATCATATACAGTACCACATTTATTAAAATATAATTTCAAAATGCAATGAAAAACAATATTGCTACAGAAACCTCAATGCTACAGAACTGTTTTTAATTGATTAATGTTGCATAGGCTTGCATTTTGACTCAGAAAGTGATCTTGTATCAGAAAAGGTTGGTGACCACTGGCCTAGAGGGAGTTTCCATATACCAGCCATTCCCTTTCAAATCCTTGAAGGATACACACTTTGGGAGAAAGGAGAGATTATTGGGATGCAACCTGTGTGTGTGTGAAGGGGGCGGGTTCTGAAGCAAAGCTGACCTTTGCGATGAGGTCAATGAGGGGCGTGGCTCCCAGCTCCTCTATGTGCTGCTCGTTGAGACAGGACAGGTAGTAGAACTGGGTCTTCTTCTCGGCGTCGCTGCTGGAGTTGAACGTGCCGTTCTCTAAAGAAGGAGAGAAAAAGAGTGGGAGGGAGAAGAGGAGAAGATGAATGAGGAGGTGAACAGAGGCTAATGTGATTGTGTGAGGCAGAGACAAGACCTGTCATTTCCTTCAATATACACTGTCAAAAAAATCTAGTTGATTAAATTATTCATTATTTAGTAACTGGTTCCACAGCCTTGTTAAGTACTAAACGTTTCAGTCAAAGTGATACCTGAACTTAAAATGTTTAGTTGGCCCAAACTTAGGTCCAACTTGAGAAAACTTCGGCAAAAATGTGCACAGTGCTTTTAAAATACAATGTTTTCAATATACATATTTGCCATACACTATATATGCAAAGGTATGTGGACACTCCTTTAAATGAGTGGATTCGGCTATTTTAGCCACATCCGCTGCTGACAGGTGTATAAAATCGAGCACACAGCCATGCAATCTCCATAGATAAACATTTTCAGTAGAATGGCCCGTACTGAAGAGCTCAGTGACTTTCAATGTGGCACCGTCATAGGATGCCACCATTCCAACAAGTCAGTTAGTCAAGTTTCTGCCCTGCTAGAGCTGCCCTGGTCAACTGTAAGTGCTGTTATTTGAAGTGAAAACTTCTAGGAACAACATGGCTCAGCCGCGAAGTGGTAGGCTACATAAGCTCACAGAACGGGCCTACCGAGTGCTGAAGCGCGTAAAAATCGTCTGTCCTCGGTTGCAACACTCACTACCGAGTTCCAAACTGCCTCTGGAAGCAACGTCAGTACAAGAACTGCTCGTCAGGAGCTTCATGAAATGGGTTTCCATGGACGAGCAGCCGCACACAAGCCTAAGATCACCATGCGTAATGCCAAGCGTCGGCTGGATTGGTGTAAAGCCATTGGACTCTGGAGCAGTGGAAACCATCTTCACCATCTGGCAATCCAACGGACGAATCTGGGTTTGGCGGATGCCAGGAGAACACTACCTGCCAGAAGGCATACTGCCAACTGTAAAGTTTGGTGTAGGAGGAATAATGGTCTGGGGCTGTTTTTCATGGTTCGGGCTAGGCCCATTAGTTCCAGTGAAGAGACATCTTAACCAGTGGAGGCTCCTCAGAGGAGGAAGGGGAGGACCATCCTCCTCAGTGAATTTCATAGAAATGTAAATTGTAAAACATTTTTAAAAAGTTTCCTTTTTAGATAAAACTATAGACATCAGAGCTCTTGCAGCATGAACTGACATATTATCCACCCAATCAAATCAGATAATTAATCTAGTACTGAAAGCATAAGCTACAGCTAGCTAGCACTGCAGTGTATACAATGTGGTGAGTAGTTGACTCAAAGAGAGAGAGAAAGACTATAGTTGAACAGTTTTGAACAAATTAATTTCTTCCAAAATGAAGGAGAAGCAAGAGAGAAATAGAGAGAGAGAGTGTCATTTTTTCCCACTTTCAGCTTCACTTACTAAGCTTGCAAATGCAGCTAGCTAGTTTAGCCTAGTCAAACACCCTGCTCAAACAGAGGGATGCTATGTTAGCTAGCTGGCTATGACTTTCCAACACAACACTGGAACTCTTCCAAGTCAAGGTAAGCTTTTGGTATTACTAATTTATTGCCACCGGGGCCCGCCGGTGTAAATGCTTACTGACTGTACACAGTAACGTTACAGCATGATTGTAGCAGGTTTACTAACGTGTTAGTTCTATTAGCTATGCTGACTATGATGTTACTTTAGCTAATATGGTGACAACGATGTAGGCTGTGTGTAGCGGATTGGCTTGGAAAGGTTTTTTCACCTGGTCACATACAGCTGATGTGTTGTGCATTGAAGTCCACAAGCGAAGGGAAGAGGTGAGAGGAGCAGAGATGCGAGAAGGAATACAACGCGGCTGCTCTGAAAGTGAACGGTCTGTCACCTCAAATTTGTCTCTCGACCCGTGTGCACCTACGTTGTAATCTTTCATTCATAGGCTAGGTTGTGGCAACCTCATGATGGGTATAGGGAAAATTAGAGTATCATGTAGTAGCCTAAACCTATCGCTGTTACATTGAACTGGGTGAAAGGAATATGAATGAGAGTCATCCAATATGCTGTAATACAAATAAGGCCATGCTCATGAAAACAAATCCTCCTCCCTCATCTTAAACGGCACTGACCGCCACTGATCTTAACGCTACAGCATACAATGAAATTCTAGATGATTCTGTGCTTCCAACTTTGTGGCAACAGTTTGGGGAAGGCCCTTTCCTGTTTCAGCATGACAAAGTGCACACAGTGAAGTCCATACAGAAATGGTTTGTCGAGATGTGTGTGGAAGAACTTGACTGGCCTGCACAGAGCCCTGACCTCAACCCCATGGAACACCTTTGGGATGAATTGGAACGCAGACTGCGAGGAGCCAGGCCAAATCGCCCAACATCAGTGCCCGACCTCACTAATGATCTTGTGGCTGAATGGAAGCAAGTCTCCGCAGCAATGTTCCAACATCTAGTGGAAAGCCTTCCCAGAAGAGTAGAGGCTATTATAGCAGCAAAGGGGAGACCAACTCCATATTAATGCCCATGATTTTGGAATGAGGTGTCCATATACTTTTGTTCATGTAGTGTATGTTGTCATACCAGATGACATTGTGCATGCTCATTTATACAATAATATAAATGAGCAATATTCAACATGTCCTTATCTGGGATTTTAACTAACAACCTCTTGGTTCAAAGCATTCCGATCTTCCTGCTATGCCACCATGTCTATGTCAGTTATCAGTTAATCTGACTATTCTCTCTTAATTGATTTGATTTACTTATTTACTTGTTTTAGTTACTCCTTTATCACTATGATAAATGAAATCATTTTTCTTGAGTGTACTTTTAACAGAGCTGAGATTTACTTTGAAGTGCAAAGTGTAGGAATTCAGGTGAAAAAAGTCATAGACACAGTAATAATGGCGCAGCAGGAAGATTGGAATGCTGAGAACCAAGACGTTGTGAGTTCCAATCCCAGGTGAGGCCATGTTGAATAATAATTACTTTATACATGATCATACTCAATGTATGATCATTTGTATGTCAACGTGTGCCAAATATTGTATGTTAAAATCACTATAAAAATGTTTGCCTAAGTTTTCTCAAGTTGGAGCTAAATTTGGGGCAACTAAAAATGTTAAGTTCAGGTAACACTGACCGAAAAGTTAGGTAAACTAAAAAAGGCTGTGGAACCAGTTACTAAATAATAGTTAGTTAAATCAACTACATTGTTTTTTTACAGTGCAAGTGAATTATCATGACAGGAGATGAGGACAGGTTTGCAGCAAATAACAGGACGTCATGGACGGTTGAACCATGGCTGACTGTTCTGACAGTTAGGGAGCTGGGGGATTGGACCGTGACCGCTGCGGGCCAGAATGGACACACACACACACACACATACATAGACACACACACACACACGTGACTCGTTTCAGGAAACTAGGTGTATGTCGCGCGTCACTACTCCACAGGAGAGGCATTTGAACGTAATTATTCTTTTTTTAATCAAAATTCGTTTTTTGGCAGAAATTCCTTCTGGAACATGTCAACTTTCATGTGCCTTAATAACAAACTTGTTTGCCATCTGTAAATACGAAGAGAAAAAAAATTACGAGCCCAGTTGGTTTAGCCACGGAAAAAGACAGGAACCTTCCCGCTAGCCATGATTGGCTGAGATAATGGCTGGGCTGGACATGCCGAGAGATTAGTTCGGATTGGTCTGCCATGTAACAAGCTTCTGTCTATAACGTGAGCTGCTCAGTATGTGTAGGTAATCCTTTCATACACAGCTTTTTTGAAAGATATCATGAAGTGATATCACTTTCTGTAGGACCGAGTTTTTAAATCAGTGATGGAGAAAATTGAGGCATTTGATTGCAAATATGCGGAAGAAGTCAAAAAGAGAACACACAGAAGGCTGTTGTATAAAACACCTTTCTCCTGATTACATCTTCAAACTAAGGGCAACCATGGCATCCATGACAGAGAGGAAGAAGCGTTCATCCATGTATTCGGGTAAGCGAGTCTAGCTAGCTACATTTTCAAATATTATAAGTTTCTAATTTAGTCAGAAAGTCATTTTAATTGCAAGTTAACGCGTACTGTTAGCTACCTAGCTTACGTTAGCTAGCTGGCTGGCTGGCTCGCAGTTAACGTTACGTGTATGATCTGTGTAGTAATATTATTTGTATCTCAAATCCATTTGCATTGTTAGTTATAGCCTAATGTTAGCTAGCTAGCTAGCATTGAACCTAGTTGGTTAGCTTTAGCTACCTGTAGATTCATTCAGGGTAGTAACGTTAGGGAGTTGGGATTATGGTTCATTGTTTAGCTAGCTAGCTAGATACATATCTAAACAAAAGACTCCACTATGCAAGTAACCATTTCAGTGTACCGTTTACACCTTCTGTATCCTGTGCATGCGACAAACAAACTTTGATTTTATTTGATATAGTGTGTGTTTACCAGAGATGGTCAATTGAAGAACAACATGACCTGCACCAAAGTCAAATTAGGATATAACATTAGGCCATCGAGACAGTATCCAAGTTCTAAAATGCTCTGGTAGAATGCCCTGCTTTTATTTTGTCACACTCACAACCATAAGCTATTTTCTGTAATTAGCTCACCATTAACTTGTAAATAATGATCTTGTTGTGAGTTTATTTTCCTGTAATAATGATTACAAATTAGCTAAAGTTAACACGTTGTCAGCTATATGATATGGTCATTATTTGAACTGGCAAACCAGCTAACTTAACATTAGCTAGCTAGCGAACGAGCTAGAAATGCACCAAAACGTTTGTTTAGAAAGTTGCTTTTAGTTGCCTGTTTTGCTAGATTGACATATACTAAATTCATTTTTAAACAGATGGGTTTATTGGTGTTAAAATACATCAGTTACGCTATTTTGGACCACCAGGCTGCTGATTGCATGCAGCCTGTTGTTTTTGGGTTTATACCTTTTCATAACGCCAACGACAAGTTTGATGTCGAACGACAATAGAATGTTCACTGCGACAACTGTATGCAGACATGTCAATAGACGTAGTATACACCAGCCTTTAGACTTGAAATCTTTGCTTGTTTAGTACACTACTGTACTCACTCTGTTTAGAACATTGCCTCACATGTGAATTCTTAAAGAGATGGGTGCGGCTAAAGCTTAAGAGGGTGTGAATGATGCTGAATATGTGTAGACAAAGAAGAGCTCTCCAGTAGGTGTGCCAAAACATTCAAGGGTCATTTTTTCAAAAGTGGGTATACAAGATTATCAACTTTCAAAGCAGAATTACTTTCCCATTGTTCCTCAACTGTAGTGTATGATATACCATTTTCTAGCTCTGAGTCTCTACTTTTATTCAATGTAAAATTTCAAATGTTGCTACATAAGACCGAATCGAGCCGGTCGGTCACATATACAGTGGGGGAAAAAAGAAATTAGTCAGCCACCAATTGTGCAAGTTCTCCCACTTAAAAAGATGAGAGAGGCCTGTTATTTTCATCATAGGTACACGTCAACTATGACAGACAAAATGAGAAAAAGATTTCCAGAAAATCACATTGTAGGATTTTTTATGAATTTATTTGCAAATTATGGTGGAAAATAAGTATTTGGTCAATAACAAAAGTTTCTCAATACTTTGTTATATACCCTTTGTTGGCAATGACACAGGTCAAACGTTTTCTGTAAGTCTTCACAAGGTTTTCACACACTGTTGCTGGTATTTTGGCCCATTCCTCCATGCAGATCTCCTCTAGAGCAGTGATGTTTTGGGGCTGTCGCTGGGCAACACGGACTTTCAACTCCCTCCAAAGATTTTCTATGGGGTTGAGATCTGGAGACTGGCTAGGCCACTCCAGGACCTTGAAATGCTTCTTACGATGCCACTCCTTCGTTGCCCGGGCGGTGTGTTTGGGATCATTGTCATGCTGAAAGACCCAGCCACGTTTCATCTTCAATGCCCTTGCTGATGGAAGGAGGTTTTCACTCAAAATCTCACGATACATGGCCCCATTCATTCTTTCCTTTACACGGATCAGTCGTCCTGGTCCCTTTGCAGAAAAACAGCCCCAAAGCATGATGTTTCCACCCCCATGCTTCACAGTAGGTATGGTGTTCTTTGGATGCAACTCAGCATTCTTTGTCCTCCAAACACGACGAGTTGAGTTTTTACCAAAACCTATTTTGGTTTCATCTGACCATATGACATTCTCCCAATCCTCTTCTGGATCATCCAAATGCACTCTAGCAAACTTCAGACGGGCCTGGACATGTACTGGCTTAAGCAGGGGGACACGTCTGGCACTGCAGGATTTGAGTCCCTGGCGGCGTAGTGTGCTACTGATGGTAGGCTTTGTTACTTTGGTCCCAGCTCTCTGCAGGTCATTCACTAGGTCCCCCTGTGTGGTTCTGGGATTTTTGCTCACCGTTCTTGTGATCATTTTGACCCCACGGGGTGAGATCTTGCGTGGAGCCCCAGATCGAGTTAGATTATCAGTGGTCTTATATGTCTTCCATTTCCTAATAATTGCTCCCACAGTTGATTTCTTCAAACCAAGCTGCTTACCTATTGCAGATTCAGTCTTCCCAGCCTGGTGCAGGTCTACAATTTTGTTTCTGGTGTCCTTTGACAGCTCTTTGGTCTTGGCCATAGTGGAGTTTGGAGTGTGACTGTTTGAGGTTGTGGACAGGTGTCTTTTATACTGATAACAAGTTCAAACAGGTGCCATTAATACAGGTAACGAGTGGAGGACAGAGGAGCCTCTTAAAGAAGAAGTTACAGGTCTGTGAGAGCCAGACATCTTGCTTGTTTGTAGGTGACCAAATACTTATTTTCCACCATAATTTGCAAATAAATTCATTAAAAATCCTACAATGTGATTTTCAGGATCTTTTTTTCTCAATTTGTCTGTCATAGTTGACGTGTACCTATGATGATAATTACAGGCCTCTCTCATCTTTTTAAGTGGGAGAACTTGCACAATTGGTGGCTGACTAAATACTTTTTTCCCCCCACTGTACATATACACACACACACCATGGGGCCAAGACAAAAGCACCATGGGGGGGGCATGTTCACTGTCATCTTAGACAGGAGCCACATTCTGCTCAGATGACAGAACACAGACGGCAGAGCTCCTGTTCCAGAGGCAGTTAGAAACAGACGTATTCAGTGTCTATTTAGCTCCGATATCAATCAGCCTCTAACACCTACATTACACTAAGTAAGCCTTTTCCGCCTGGCTGCCAAAGCTAGTGGACTAAAAAGGAAATAAGCTTTCCAGTTTTATTCTGTTATCCTTGTTGATTTTGAAATGCACTGTATCTGACAAGTGTGGTTTAAAAGACTTGATGGAATGGTCTTGTGCCACACGCAAAAATGCAATTACTTGGTTTGCATCAGAAAGACTTCAACAACAAGACCCATCAACACACTATGGATTTTCCAACTGCTGGGGCATCATTTGTGTGTGTGTGTGTGTGTGTGTATGTGTTCCATCACACACTAAACAATGGTTCCTCAAGGGTTCTTTGGGAAGGGTGATGGTTCTATGTGAAACCATACTGACCCAAAGTACCCTTTGAGCCCTTCAATTGCTCTTTGCAATTTGAAAAAGGGTTATTTTCTCTTTTATTGATAATTAAAATGTAAGGGTGTCTGCTCATTAGAATATGTTGAGGCACGGTTTGCTCACTGCTCACAGTGAGTGAGTGTCATTCCAGTTTATCTAATCCAGGGGTGTCAAACTCATTTTAGCTCAGGGGCCACATGGAGGAAAATCTATTCCCAAGTGGGCCGGACCGGAAAAATCATGGTATATATAACTTAAAAACAACAACTTCAGATTGTTTTCTTTGTTTTAATACGATCAACATACAACATAAAGCTGGAGCCTGAGGACAGTGTGTCCAAAATAGTACAAGCACAACATCACTATTAATCATAAAACACGTCAAGTTTATTTGAAAATTCTAAAGAAAAAGAACACACAAACACACAATGCCTCAGTGATTAACAGAACTGTTTCACAGATCACATAACTATATCAGGGTGTCATTTCTCAGGCAGAAATGTAGATAAAAATAATGAAATCCTGTTCCCCAAACAAGTGCAAGAACCACAGAGTCAAGAATAGGTTAAATATACAAATAAAATAAAATCAATTAAAAACAATAGCACATCAACATAAAAACATATAAACATAAATCTGAAAGCGTTGCTCAAACTCACGTAACAGTCCCGTTATTTTATCTTTGAACCGCTTCATGTCTGCCACATGTTGGGTCGCGCACACATTTTTCAGACAGGGGAAGTGAGCTGCATCACCACCGGCAAGTTGCGTCTCCCACAATGACAGCTTCAACTTGAAAGAACGTATGCTGTCATAATGCTGCGTGACAACTTTGTTGCGCCCTTGCAGCTGTTTGTTCAAGTTATTCAGGTGCTCTGTAACATCCACCATAAATGCAAGGTCCTGCATCCATTCTGCGGAATGAAATTCTAACACTGGTTTGCCCTTTTCTTCCATGAACTGTTCAATTTCTTCTCGTAAATCAAAGAAACGCCTCAGCACAGCACCTCGGCTTAACCATCTTACCTCAGTGTGGTATGGCAGGCCATAGATGTGGTCTTTCTCTCTGAGAAGGCTGTCAAACTGACGGTGATTCAGGCTTCTGGATCGGATGAAATTAACAGTTTGGATGACCACCTTCATGACGTTATCCATCTTTAATGACTTGCAACACAAAGCCTCCTGGTGCAAAATACAGTGAAAAGTCAAAAAATCACATCCTCCATTTGCAGATTGCACTTTCTCTCTGAACTTTGTCACAACGCCTGCTTTTTTCCCGATCATTGAGGGCGCACCATCTGTAGCCAGGCTGACAGCGCGGGACCAGTCCACTCCGACCCTGTCCAGCGCGCCGACGAGTGCGGTAAAAATATCAGCTGCTGTCTTTGTATCTGTCATCGGCACCAACTCCACAAACTCCTCGGTGACGGT